CTAATACGAATACATATATCATGTTCATAGTAAATAATGGATGCAGGTAGAGAAAACCTTTACTATCTCCCATCATATTGCAAACATTGTTCTATCAACATTTGATTGACAAAACTATTGAACAACTTAATTCCTTGATTTAGTTGTTGTAGTTGTGTGTATATCTCCACACATTGGGGATGAGAATGATCTTCAGCATTGAAAGCATGTACTTTATTCTTCACTTCTATCCAACTCCAACCTGGAACTTTTTTCACTCCCCTTTCTCGCATCATCCTTGTTATACTAGCCTTCTCATTCCACATCTTGAATCGTCCATACATTTCAGAGAGTATAACATAAGTGCAGTGGTCCTCAGGCTCCAGCTCTAGCAAATTTTTTGCTACTTCACTAGCTAATTTGATATCACCACAAAACCTACAGGCACCTAACAAAGTTTTTAACACCATTGCATCAGCTTCAAAAGGCATCGTTTCAACCAAAGCTTTTGCCTTCTCAAGTTGCCCTGCCCGACCATAGAGATCAATTGCACAAGCATAGTGCTCCTTACGTCGTGGAATTCCAAAATCAGACTCCATAGACTCTATAATGTTGCAGCCTTCTTCTACTAGCCCATTATGACTGCACGCAGTTAGAACTGCAACAAAGGTTATATGATCAGGTTTCACCTTTCTCTCATTCATTAAGTAAAAGAGGTCAAGCGCAAGGTTTCCTTGTCCATGTTGTGCATACCCAAAGATGATTGAATTCCAAACAATCGCATAGTCTTTGGAAGTTGCTTCAAAAGATTTCTTAGCATCTTCTATTATCCCACATTTAGAATACATGAATATAAACGAACTCCCAACATAATTATTGGTATCAAGTCCTACTTTAAGTGCTAAGACATGAACCTGTTGACCTAACTGTAGAGTTGCTAGGTCCGAGCATGATCTTATGACAGCCGAAAAGGTATAATGGTCAATTTCTATGACCAGATATCTCATTTGTAGAAATAACCTAAAGGCATCTTCAGTCAAACCACCTTGTACATATCCTGCCAAAATGGAGTTCCAAGTGCAACCATCTTTGACATTCATTGAAAAGAATATTCTTAATGCATCTTCCATTCCCTTATCATTAAATCTGATGTACATGGCAATCAAAGCATTGGAAATAGGAACAGAATCTTCAAGGCCGTTTTTTATCACCAACCCATGCACACATTTTCCATTGCTTTTACGCTCTTGTGCAGAACAAGCACTGACACTCCCTGTGTAAGTATAAGCATCTGGCTCAAACCCAAAATTCTGCATATCAACGAAAACTTTAAATGCAAAATCTTCTTTCTCGTGCATCAAATAAGCAGCGAGCATGGAATTCCATGTAACCACATCGCGACAGGCAAGAGCACCATCAAATACTCTCTCAGCATCTTGCAAAGAACAACACTCTGAAAATGCTGTGATAGAAGCATTGCAGACAGTATTAAACGATTCCAGCCCATGTTTCAATATTTTACAATACAACTGCATTGTCAACCAACAAAACTCAGCATCATCAAGCAACGTCAAAAGTGGAGACACCGTGCCATCATCAATTTCTACACCCTCAAGCTCCATACAATGTAGCACCCAGAACGCCATGTCACGATCACCAACTCGTGAATAGCCAGCAACAAGTGTATTCCACGACACGTAATTGCGCTCTGGCATGTTCTTAAAAACAATGTATGCATCGTCAACTCTCCCACACTTGGCATACATATCCAAGAGAGCACTACCAGAAAACATGTTTTCTACTAACCCCGTCTTGAGCATGACAGAATGCATCTGTTGACCAAGTTTGAGCTGGCCAGCTAGGGCAACACCCTTGAGAATGCTTCCTAATGTATGGCTGTCAAATGCAAGTGCAGACCATCTCATTGCACTGACGATTTTCCATGTGGTTCCCAAGTGACCAGAGTTTGCATAAGCAGAAATTATGGCGTTCCAAGACACTGTATCTCTGTGGGGCATTCCATCGAACAGTTGGTGAGCAGAGGTTATATCTGTGCATTTTGCATATGATGATATGAGGTTGTTGGCGATGAAAAGGTCTGTGATGGATCCTAACTTGATGGCTTGGCAATGGGTTGCTTTGAGGTCAAGCCTAGTGAAGAAGTGCAACTTCTTCATTCATAAGGGATGATGATAGCCTTGTTCCAAAAAGTTGCCTTTCAAGATTGAAATTTCACAGAGTTACAACGGACAACAACAAAAGAATCTAGGAAGAATACAACCAAGAGAAAAACACAAAAATATATGGAAATTAGCAAACAATGGAAACTAAATCACATTAATTGTCAATCACTAATTACTCAGATAAATAACCCATTCAACTATGACTGCAAAAGCGCTAAACATAACTATGCAGTGTTACTTGTGATAGTTGGAAATATTACATCTCTTCTTGTAACGCTTGTTGAACCATTCCTGCCTAGCTAGACATCATGACATGATCAATTGCCTGTAGTGCTTGGTTAGAGAAAAATCGCACATCAACATCAGGATCCTCACTGAGCTCAACTAGGCATGGACGGATAGTCTTCACCACTTGAATGGCAATGATGTTCGTAGTAATAAAGATGAACAGAGGATGAAAAACACATGTATGATACTTACAGACTGATCAACGATAGGGAATATGAACTCTAATACCTTTGCCACATTGAACTGTATGTTGAGCACTCTACAAGGGACAAAATGGAAGTAAATATGAATCAGAACAACTGTATTGACTCGTCCAGTATGGTATATACCCAACACGCAAAATAATGTCAATAAAATAATAATAATAATAATAATAAAAGCAATGAATAAAATTAAGCCACACGAAGTACGTTGACCATAAAGTGACTGCAACTGACGTCAAAACATATGTCCATAGCATGATAATTGTGAGATAAACTGTAAAAGTCAATGAAACCTACACTTCACATACATATTATCTTGTCTACTAGCCCTACACCTTCAAGAGCATCTGTATATGCCCATTTGCAGGCTGCTTCAATGCCTGCATATCTGAAAAAACCCACTACAGTTTATCAAAACATATTTAGACATCAAAAAATGAAATAGCAGTAACAACGCCTAAAGATTGGGCTAAAGGAGAGTTAACAAAAGTTTCAACCTCCAATGCAAGGACAAGAAACATATCTATTACCAAAACTAATGAGCTCATTCGGATCCTTAGAAGAGAACTGACAATGAAAACAGATCCTTTATTTAAAAACAAAAATCAACATAAAAGAAACAATAGCCTTGAATAAGATTGAAATAAAGAAAAAGAAAATGAGAAAACTTAATAATATAACTATACAGTCATCATCTATCTATATTTTCAAAGAACTCAGGACAAATTAAATCAATCTATAGGCAATAAGGATGTAATGCACAATCTATAAACAGCATCATCATACAACTTGATAATTTGACAACATAAACATAGTATTTTCCACTACAGTACATGCAATAGATCTTCACAATGCAATGCTTTACAAAACAAAATTTATTATTTCTGTCAAAATAAAATATAAGTAGTGCGTGTTTGGTAGGATTGTTTTAGGGAAAACAGTTACTTATTCCTACAGAAAATCTCAGAAAACCAGCAAAAGTAAGCAACCATCTCTCCTAAACAACCTGAACCAAATATTGACCGACCAGAGCACCGAATGCAATCGTGCATTAGTCAAAGAGTCCAGACAAATTAATACAATCCCATCCCTTCAAACCAATACATTACAAAATTCATTAGGTACATAGACATTATTTTCCTCAACTTACAAGAACAACACAGACTCTTAACTATTGCATTAATTACATGAGGCTTCACCTCATTAAAAACATGGACCCACCCTTTTCACCGAGAAGCACATTAAATTTACCCTTTAATTTCATATCAACCAAACACACAAAACAAAACCCACCTTCGCCAGGCACATAATCCCCACGCTTGTAATAAGCAGGGCTCGTTGCAGCCCTCCATTCTGCAGTCCCCATCCCCTCTAAGTTCACCAAAAACCAAACTAACGACTCACAAATACAATTCAAAAGAAAACAACACAGTTTAACAATTCATTTAAATTCCTATACTTCTCACATTTTAAGCTTTACTCCCTAGACCACTTTCTTCGAGCTGCTTATCACCATCAGAAAATCAGGGTACCACTTTTATATTATCAACGCCACGGACCAAAACTTAATGTAATGTAATGTACCACTTTCATGCTTGTTTACAAAGATGAAATGTAATGTACGGGTGTCATAGAATACTCCTAAAAAATAACTATCAACAATGAAACAAAATGCTAAATCTATGATACGTTTTCGTAGAATATATTACCTTCGTGTTAACCATAAGCTCTTTGCTAAGAACATTACGAAATTGATTTGTCAAATTGGAAGACATTGCACTCCAAAATCCAAGCCTGTTAAATATTCCACTAAGGAAAAATCCACTTAGCAGAACACTATTACATATTTCTATCACGTGAATTACCTCTTATCCCCATGTTTCTCTTTATTCCCCTCTTTGGGTGTTAATTAGAGATTGGTGTCGACATATTAAAATTATAAAAAGGTATTTTGTTTTTTCAATTTTTTATTCAAAAATATTGTTAACCTTTAAGGGTAATATCTATGTCAAAGGTAGGTATACGGAAAACTAGTTGTTCAAATTCATTTGTTTTAATTATTTAAAATACCTTCTTAATACTCTTCGAGGATCAATTTGAGATTAAGCAACGATTGATTATTTTTAATCTAAAATCTTAAAGATAATAAATTAATTTTATTTTTATATATTAGTCAATTTTTTCTTGTGTTCAATCTCATACTTACAATATATTTATATAAATTCATCGGTTTAAAATATATAACTAAGTTGCTTGAACTAAAAGAAAAGAATCAACAATGAAAGAAACTCATGCTATATAATGGAAGTTAATGTAACGTTGATGTAAAAAACCAATTGAAAGAAGAGCTTGCTTGTCATGGAACACGTTTGGAAGCATGTGAAGTTATTGTACCTGCTGCTGCTGCTTCATCATTATCTTCTTCCCGTCAATTCAGAACACCAAATAAACTTTCCTAATATTGGTATTTTCCTTCTCATTTTTTTTATACCTGTGATTATTTAAACTTAATTGGTAATTCAACTTATTATTAACTCTTTTTTTTCGGCATGTTTGATTTTTTTTATCGACAAATTTAAACCCAGTTGATATTGAAAAACAAATATGTTTTTTTGTGAGAAATTTTTCTAACATATACATCATCTAAGGTTTCTAACTTTTGTATTATGGAAAAATAAATAAGTATTGCTTATTTGATTCATTTATTTAGAAGGTAACTGTGTTTGGAATTTATTATAGGCTTTGTTCACTTCAATGGATTTGGAAAAGAGTGATTGAAGAGATTTGAGAAGATTTGGAAATAAATCTTTTTGTTATTTATTTGAGTGAATTTGGAGGTAAGTAAGAGTGGATTTAAAATTAAAGTTTGTGAGAGTTACTATAAGATTTGATTGATACCATAGATTAAAAAAATTTACTTCAAAATTCACTTTCACTTGCCTCCAAATCCACTCAAATAAACAACAAAAATATTTACCTTCAAATCCTATCAAATTCTCTCAATCACTCTTCCCAAATTCATTTTTTCAAATCCATTGAAGTGAACAAAGTCTTAATGTTTGTGTAAGATGATTCTTGTATTAATAAAAAGACATTTTCTATTTTGGTGCACGCAACATGATTCTTACTCTTTTTTTATTCTCAACTTGAAAACAAAGCAACCAATTTTTTGCTTTTAATAAAAAAAAATTGTTTAGGGATTTTCAAGTAGGTTGTGCCTTTAAGTTGTTAATTAACTTCATTAATGTTTTTATGATTTAATTTTGTTTGATTAAAGCCCTTATTTAACTTTATAAAACATTTTTAAATAGTCACATTATAAGTTTAATGGAAAAATACTTATTATTCGTGTTGGACACAGTGAAGGGAAGGTTTAATACATAAGATAGAACATGCATCCAATTATATTAACCATCATCATTCAACAATTACTCCAATAAGATATGTTAAATTATCGTCAAAATTTCACAAATGAACAAATTTCTATCAGTCAAATAAAATTTATTAACGGATTAATAGAAATATTTGATAAAATTTGTTAGTAAAATTTAATGATAATTTATAGTTTTATTATGGATGAATATTTATATTGGTGAAATGAGCCTTAAATTTTGCGCTTTTAGACTTTGATAATTTAGTAGTAAAATTTGTCCTAAATTCATTGATTTTTTTTTTAAATTTATTGATAGATTCATTAGTTATTTTTTTTTAAATTCATTTATAAATTTTTAATAATTATTATTTTTTAAATATTTTTTGATAAAAATAATGATAATTGATTTTTTTTTAGAATTGGTTAATAAAAATAATATTAAATTTCTTTTGTTAAATTTAACAATATTTATTATAAATTAATTGAATATAAATAAAAACAAAAACAAAAAATGGTGAAGGGAAGAAACACAAAAAACAGAAAGAACTAAAAGTAGTACAGATACCATAATTTTTTATTTATGGCTAAAATTTATTAATAATTGTTAATATATATTTTCTATCCGTTAGTAAAATTTACCTATAAAAATTTAACAGACAAAATCTTAATCATATGTACAAATAATTTGTCGGTATCTATATTTTTAGTAACTTTTTTGCATTAAAAACAAATATATTTGTAATTAGGGTTATCAAATACTCCATTTGTAATAAGTTCAACAAATATTGTAACATCAGTTAAAAGATTTGGTTTTGGTGGTGGAGGACATGGATCTGGTGGTGGAGGACATGGATCTGGTCATGCAAGCAGCATGGGAGCGCACGGTGGTAGTAATGGTGAGCATGGAAATTTGCCACACCAAGAAGATGGAAGTATAGTCCCTTTATATGGTGCTGCTGCAGGTTCTGCTCGTGACAGAAACAATAATCATTACCATAGTAAAAGTAATGCCATATCAACTTATGTATGCTTTTATAATTGTCTTCTCTTTTTTTCTACAATTATAGGAATTTTTCTGTGTACCTAACATAACCATATCATATTGTCATTATTTTATGTAACCACATGCGATCATTATAAAAATTAATTCTCTTATATTAATTATGCATTTATCGATTTAAGGATTTTAAAATAGAAAACCAAAAAAATAATCTTATTGAAGAAAAATAAAATTCAATGGTCCAATAAAAATATAAATAACTTTTACACGAAAACTTACGCTTCGTTAAGTAAATTATTACTGCACAGTAAAGGCAACAAAGTGTGATAAAGAAAATATGAAGAATTGAGAAGGGAAGAATTGGATAATTAGAAGAGAAGAAGAAATGGAAGAAGCACATAAATGAGACAGTAAGAAGAAAATGATCTAAGCGAGCATAAATGAGATTTGTAGAAGGAATATATTGATATATTATAACTCATGTAATTAGTAGACTTGTAGTTATGGTAAAAGTAATGTCACATCAACTTATGTCTGCTTGTGTAATTAATTGGCTTCTCTTTTTTTCTATAGTTATAGGAATTTTTCTATGTATCTTACCATAAACATATTATATTGTCATTTTATGAAAATGTAAACACATGTGATCATTGCAAAATTAACATAAAGAGAATTAATTTTTATAAGTGATTATATAAAATGACAATGTAATATGATTATTGTCAAGTATATAGAAAAATTATCATAACTGTAGAAAAAAACAATTATAAAAACATCTGCAGTACTAACACCATATAAATTAAAAAAACAGGAAAAAAACAATTATAAAAGCAGACATAAGTTGATGTGACATTATTTTTATCCATTATTCACAAATATTTTTTTTAGATATTATCAACTACTATAGGATTTTATTTATAAATATTGGGTTAGATGTATTTTTAGTTCCTAAATTATAAAGTTATTTTGTTTTTAGTTTCTCTTTTAAACTAAGGAACTTTTTGACCCTTCACTTTTAGAAAACCATAATTTTTCGTTCTCAAAAATCAACGGCGTTAAAAAGAATTTGAGCTAGCTAATGTAAGACCCGTATAAATAAAATGATTTCTTACTTTAAGTATTTTATTTTGTGGTATTAAATAATAAATTGTGATGTGAAACAATGTTGAGAAACATTTAAGAAGGGAAGAAATTTAAATTAATATTGGTTTTATATTAATTTTTGAAAAAAGTTGAAAGAGTATTTAAATATATTTTTTGCGCTACTTTATCGACGAATGGAGTTTGGTCTAGTAGTTGTTGTGAGTGTGCATGGGGTGGGGCGTGTGCTTGGTCACAAGTTCAAGCCCTCCTAAGACAAAAAGAAAATACTTTAGCTCTCTTTAATTTCCACCTTGGCATATGACATAGTGTGTATGATGGGTAGAAGGTAATGTTGTTGCATGTTTTCTTTCTTGTGTGTTGGAATTAAATTTAACATGTTGATGCATGCACTTTTCTTTTGGTTTTAAGTTTCATGTGTTGTTACATGTAGAATGTGTATTCACATGTTCATTTTCGTTTTTCTACTATATGGTGTATTTAATGGATTATACATGTTTATATTTTATGAAAAAGTGGTGTTGTTGTAATGGGTATACATGTTGGATGTATTGAGGTGTTGTTTGTGTATGAAAAAGTGTCATGGATACACTTTAAAATCATTTTGTATATTTTGTTCTTATTACCTTACAAGAATTATATATTGTTGGGAGCACTTATCTACACTCTTTAACCAAGAGTGTCGGTAAGAGGGTATTGAGAATTCTTTTCCATTGTTGGAAGGGGAAAGAATGAGTTATGAAAATGAAAAGAGTGAAAGTGATATTTTGGTGAAGTTGGATACATGGGATTGATGAAAACAGTGAAGATGAATGGAGTTGGTGTCATAGGTGGAAGAAGATCATGAAGGAAGAAGTGAAGAGTGTATTGTGTGCATGTGTTACGTGGAAGAGAGAAATGAATGGAAGCATGCACACAACTCTTCCACTCTTTTCTTTCCTTTTCTCCTTTCTACATTAAAGCTCACAGTCCACACATTACACATAACATTTTATTTTTTATTTTCTTCTTTCTTTACTCTCCCAACCTCGTTTACGTACAAACACCCTCACACACTACCCTTCTTTCATTTCACTCTTCTCTCTCTTTCATTTAATGCCCATGGCCCCACATCTCTCTACTTATGTTATTTTATTTTTCTAATCACTCTCTCCGCACTCCACACCTTAAGTTGTTGCAGCACATTAACCTTCCTTTCCCTCTTTCTTCTTTTCACTTTATGTCAACGTACACACCTGCTACGTAAACTTTGGGGAGAGGAAGAATTATTTTGTTTTGAAAAGTCAAATAAAGTGGAAAGTGGGGTCCACAGTTTTGTGAGAAAACAGAAGTGAGTGGAACTTGTGTTTTAATTGAAAAAAAAAATAGAGGAAATAAGTAAAAGGTTACGTAAATAGTAAAATGAGAGAGAGAAAGAGAGTTTGATAAGAAGTGGGTGGTCTCATGTGGGAAGGGAGTGTGTTTAGAGTAAAAAGGAGGTGTATTAGAATTATGTGTTTTCTTTGATGTTGGGTATTAATTAAAAAGTGGGGGTGCACTAGAAATGTTGTTCTAGTTGATGGAAGTGTGAAATTAGTAATTTCACATGGGTGCATTAGTAGGAAAAATAATTAAATTAATTTATTTAATTATTTGTGATTTTAATTAATTGTTGGTCAATGAATTTGTTGACTTTATATATGATGGTGATGGTTGTGATGGTAAAGTTGTGAAAGGAAGTGTTCTGTCATTTTCTTAGAATTTTTATCGAACTGATGGGGTTCGTATTGCGATACGATAGTGTGTTGAGTTCTCTACGGAGACTGAGATTCGAGTGTCACCCTATCTTCGTGTGCGAGAATTAGAGAGGGTTGGATGTCTCACCCAATGACTTCGGCTCGTGTGAGTATAGTGCTCGATGGGTGTGCTTAACCGGAGTTTTTACTCGTAATTCCTTGAGGAGTCGAGGGAGATAGGTTTGAAGTTGCGATGGAAGACGACTCAAATCGTCCTGTTTTGCGAAACAGGTTTGGTACAACAAAATTCAAGGAAACAACAGAAGCTTGTGAGAATGATCTGAGTCATTGTTTTGAATATCGTGATGTATTGTAATGTCATGACTATGATAGTCTGGGTGGTGATTATCTGGGTTGCGAGTTGAATAATGCGATGTATTGTAAGGTTATGACTAGGATAGTCTATGTTATAATGTTATAACATTGAAATTATATACTATGTTAGGTTCTTAGTTACTCACCCTTTCCTTTTGTGGTTGTGGTTCCACCTACGATGATCGTACCTGTACGGGAGTATATGGCGTTGCAGATAAGGCAGAGATGGAGTAGAACGACGAGATATATGGGAATAGCTACGGACAATTTATCGTGTTTTAAAGTTATTTTATGTTTTTGAATAATGGATTTGATATTTGTAAGGTTTGAACTTTATGTTGTAAGACGCTTAAACTTTTGAGGTTTTGGTTATGCAATGTTACTTTTAAATAAAAAAAAATGACGTAAATTTTGGATTTTGTTATTTTCTAGTGACACTTCGTTAGCGGTGTTACAACTAACAGTAAAATAGATAATAGATAATAATGTTAAATTTTTTTCTTAACCACCCAAACATGGACTTAAAAAAGAAGAAATGCATTAACAAACATTATAGTCACACTGTGCTTTTTACCGTTTATTACTTTTAGTTGTAACAGTTAGGTACATAAACTACATTTATCATTTTTCTTTATATCACATCATATTATCTATCATAGTCATATTTTCGTTCTCACCACATCTTGTCATCAAAGAGAAAACAGTCACAATATAAACGGAAAGAAAAAAAAAAGTTAATTAACACCGGCTACTAGTATTTAACTCTGTATAAAAGTAAAATGATCCTAACAAAAATAACTTTTGGATTTTTAGAGGAAAAGAGAGAAAAAAAGAGATAATAAAAGATAGTGCTAAATGGAAGTAGAAAAAAATTGTGTAAAAATAATGGTGGAGAGAAATAATAACAGGTAGGTATAGATGTCTAAAATTAATGATGCATGATGTATCATTGTTATAATGTAAAACATTGATCTATAGCCAGAGGCTACGAATCAGGCGATGTTATTCCTATCAGGGTTGATGTTATTTCGCATTCAACTGAAATAATTTCTTAAAGGCTAGAGCCATTGCTGTTGACAACTTCAGCAGTTAAAGAACATATGGTCATAGGTGTAATGATTGTTCACTTTGTAATGATTTTTAACAATATCAAACATGGGAGAGTCCGTGGCATGTTTCATGAAGTCATCCTTCTTTCTATTTAAACTACATGCAAGATAAATATTGACGTCTAACAATGCTTTTAATTAGAAATATTTGGTTGGAATTGAATGCCATTTATACATGAACATAGGAAGACTAGAATTGTAAACTAGGCAGGGAAGGCTTAATTCCCAAATGGGAGTGCCTGCAATCTGTGAAAATTGTCTTTTCCAAATAAAAGGATGATCAACTACTTTCGGCAAAATATCATTAGCAACTTCTGATAGCCATATTGGTTTATAGTACTTAAAAAGGTAAAGTCCTAACAAAAACTTCTCACCAAAAATTGCACATCTTTTTCGACTCATCCAAATCATCGCAGAGAATTTCCTGATGCTTGATTTGCCACACCATCAATAGTCTCTGTTGTAGTTTCGTCCTGCCAGTAGCCGAGCCCAAATGTAGTGCATTCTACATAATGGATTTGACAGGCATTCTTGATATGGCCAAACAAATCCCAGTACCTTACCGAGCAATTATCACAACAGATGCTTTAGTTTGTTGCCTATTCTGAAGCTAGAAGACTGCTTCTCCAAACGATACTTTTACTTCTTTCCAGTAGCTTTAATTTCTTTTATCAAGATTCGTCACCAATAAGTTTACACACACGTGTATCATTTTGGCAATGGATTATCTTATCATAATAAATCAGATCATTGCAGTGAAAATCTATAACCTTCCACAACTAAATGGGGGGAAATAATCATTCTCAACTCAAATTTAATGCGT